ACAACAAGGTGCTTGGTGACAGCCAGCATGGCTTCACTAAGGGGAAATCCTGCCTGACCAATTTGGTGGCCTTCTGTGATGGGGCTACAGAACTGATGGACAGGGGTAGAGCAGTTGATGTCATCTACCTGGACTTGTGCAAAGCATTCGACACTGTCCCACACAACATCCTTGTCTCTAAATTGGAGAGACATCAATTTGATGGATGGACCACTCGGTGGATAAAGAACTGGCTGGATGGCCGCACACAAAGAGTTGTGGTCAATGGCTCAATGTCTGGCTGGAGACCAGTAACGAGTGGTGTCCCTCAGGGATCGGTGTTGGGACCGGTCTTGTTCAACATCTTTGTCGCTGACATGGACAGTGGGATTGAGTGCGCCCTCAGCAAGTTTGCCGATGACACCAAGCTGTGTGGTTCTGCTGATATGCTGGAGGGAGCCTTGAAGAGAAGGACTTGGAGGTGCTGGTTGACCAGAAGTTCAACATGACCCAGCAGTGTGTACTTGCAGCCCAGAAAGCCAACCGCATCCTGGGCTGCAACAAAAGGAACATGACCAGCAGGTCGAAGGAGCTGATCCTGCCCCTCTACTCTGCTCTTGTGAGACCTCACCTGGAGTATTGTGTGCAGTTCTGGTGTCCTCAACATAAAAAGGACATGGAACTGTTGGAACAAGTCCAGAGGAGGGCCACGAGGATGATCAGGGAACTGGAGCACCTCCTGTATGAAGACAGGCTGAGGAAGTTGGGGCTGTTCAGCCTGGAGAAGAGAAGGCTGCGTGGAGACCTCATAGCAGCCTTCCAGTATCTGAAGGGGGCCTATAGGGATGCTGGAGAGGGACTCTTCATTAGGGACTGTAGTGATAGGACAAGGGGTAATGGGTTAAAACTTAAACAGGGGAAGTTTAGATTGGATATAAGGAAGAAGTTCTTTACTGTGAGGCACTGGAATGAGTTGCCCAGGGAAGTTGTGAATGCTCCATCCCTGGCAGTGTTCAAGGCCAGGTTGGACAGAGCCTTCGGTGACATGGTTTAGTGTGAGCTGTCCCTGCTCATGGTAGAGGGGCTTGGAACGAGGTGATCTTAAGATCCTTTCCAACCCTAGCAGCTTTCTGAAACATCAGTGAGAAACTCTCAAATTAAATTAAGGATAAAATTCACCCAGTGAGCTGGGCTCACTGGTTTATTCAGTGTGCTCACACCTCCCAGTTCACTGATCACTAAGCATAGCAGGAGTACAGAGCACAGACCAGCAATGCCTTGAAAACCTGCAGATTGTTGTTCCAGTTGATGCCACATACACACAGTGACCTTCCCTGTAAAGCTAAATTAGTGTGACTTAAGACACAGAAAAAGTCAGTTAAATAAAAAGATACAGGGAAAGAATGGGAAGCATACATGGTGGATAAGAGTGAAAGGAGCTCTTGGTTTCACAGAGGAGTTGCATGCAAAATTATCATGCTCATACATTTAGTGACATACAGATATATGAAGAATACCCACAATGTTTTTTTGTCTCTGATTTGTTTTTCCTAGAAAAGTCTGCTGGAGGAAGCTATCTAACATCTTCCTTATTAACACAGTCTTTTAAAACTCATCACTTCTGTAACTGAAATAACCCATAAATATTGGAAATTTCAAAGCACATGGCATAACAAAAGGACCTTCAAGACAAAAGGATTTGAGACACTGAACTCTGGTCACAGGATGAAAGAGTTCCCTTCTGTCCCTCCTCTATAAGTTTGTTCTCAAACATATTCCTATATGTGTATCATGATACTTATGATAGTTACATAAGCAAGATGTGGATTTTGTGTTCATTACAACTTTATTTCTTCTTGGCCAATGGTAAGAAGATGACATAAGGTACTAGAGTTCAAAAAGAGAAGAGACATTCAGGAGTGAAGATGAAAGAAAGAATATGTGGCAAGGAAATAAGGATGGGGTGGAAATGAGAGGTCTGGATAGATAAACCAGAAAAAAATTACAGGGCAAGAAAACTGACCCTGAATAGAAAAATCATAGAATGGTTTGGGCTGGAAAGGATCTTAAAGATCATCCGGTTCCAAGCCTCTGCCATGGGCAGGGACACCTTCCACCAGACCAGGTTGCTCCAAGCCCTGTCCAGCCTGGCCTTGAACACTGGACAGGGATGGGGCAGCCACAACCTCTCTGGGCACTCTGTGCCAGTGTCTTACTAACCTCACAGCAATGAATTTCTTCCTAATATCTAATCTAAACCTCCTATTTCTCAATTTAAGGCCATTCTCCTTTGTCCTGTCACTACATGCCTTTGTAAAATGTCCTTCCAGATTTCTTGTAGGGCCCCTTTAGGCACTGGGAGCTGCTCTAAGGTCTCCATGGAGCCTGGCTCTTCTCCAGGCTGAACAAGCCCAGCTCTCTCAGCCTGCCTCCATAGGAGAGGTGCTCCAGTCCTCTGATCTTCTTCATGGCCTCCTCTGGACTCATTACAACAGGTCCACATCCCTCTTGTACTGGGGACCCCAGGAGCTGAAAGCAGGACTGCTGGTGGGGCCTCACCAGAGCAGAGAGGCACAGTCACCTCCCCCAGCTTGCTGGTCACATTCCTTTTGATGAAGTCCAGTACACAGTTGGCTTTCTGGGCTGCAAATACACACTGCTGGGTCATGTTGAACTTCTGGTCAACCAGCACCCCAAGTCCTTCTCTTCAAGGCTGCTCTGAATCCATTCTTTGCCCAACCTGTAGCTGTGCCTGGGATTGCCCCAATCCAGGTGCAGGACTTTGCACTTCACTTTGCTGAACTTCATGAGCTTGCCATTGGCCACCTCTCACGCTCAAGGTCCCTCTGGATGGCATTCCTTCCCTCCAGCATGTTAATCACACCACACAGTTCAGCATCAATGGCAAACTTGTGATAAGAAAAAATATGAGACTCAAGTAAGGAAAGAGAAAAACAGACAGGACATAAAAAGTACATTATCACTTAAAAGTCATAACATATATACAGAGCAGGATTCACTACCTATATATGTTCATTCTGTCATTGTGTAACTTTTTTCGCAAGCACTTAACTTCGCAACCTTAATGTCCTCTGAACGTTATTTTTGTGTGCTTATAACGTGTTATCTGAGAGGCTGAGATTTACCCATCACAATTGCAGTTTTCAGATTTAAATTCTTCTGGAGCAACCAGAGCATAAAAGTGTGTCAAAACAATCCTTTTCACACCCAGCTCACTCTGAGCTAAAATGATTTTGTTTGAAATCCTTTGGGAGAAAAAAATCACTTCTGAGAGAAAAATAAGCATGAAAAAGTGAAAAATTGCACCGAAGAGGTAATTTGGGGATGTTATAAACCACACACAAAGATAAATTGGAAAAGTCATCATGTCTGTGCCATCTAAATTGTTGAGTACCCCCATATACACAACGTGTTTTTCCAGCAATTCTCAGGGAAGTCATCTTCAACAACAAATTTCACTTAAAATGGTTATAAAGAACCTTCACAATGTAATTCGTGGTTTGGAAGTCTTAGGGCTTAGGAATTCCACTACAGCCCCTTTTATGGATGCAATCCAAACATGAGACATCTTACTTAGCAACAAAGGTCTCCTGTGTTCAGTGCCATTGGATATATTCCTGGATATAACTCTGTAGATTCCTTTGAAGGATCCTGTCACTGAAAAACTACCGCAAATAATCTGGGTGCCACACAACTTTAAGAACTGCCTACAGTGGAAGCAATTAAAACTTGCAGAAGATGCAAAGGCCCTAAGTAGGCCATCTCAGATGGCCTTTTTCATATTTATTTATTTCAACTTATCTTTATAAGTTTGACAATGTAGACAAGAATTTCCAAAGTCAAGCTTATAAAAACAGTCTTATATGATGGCCCTTGAGATCTTTTCTTGATACCACATGTGATGTATTTTGCTTGATTCTCAGCATCCTAAGCATATATTATTCACAATACCAGTTGCAATAAGCATTGGTGAACTATGTTCTTCACCTAGAAGATGGAAATCACAATCATTAATGACAGAGCAGATGACAAATGTTAGAAACAGATGAGAGCACTGAGCAACACATGATCAGCAACCTCAGTAGAAAGAGCATCTGATATCCTTTGAGATCGTTCTTGTGAGCCCCCTTCTTGAATCAACAGCCAAGACTAGTTATGTAGCTCTAGTCATTAGGTGACACCGTACACATTGCTGAAAGGAAACTGCTGGGTATCAGTACATTAGACTGTAATAACCAAAAATATGTAGCCCCTCTGTTTTAATTACTATAAATCCTATCTTCATTTAGTATTAATGCTCAATTAATTAGTGGATTCTAAAGATTTCATTACCACAGTCCTCATTCATTTCCCTGGAATATAGCTGCACATTTTTACTTTTTTTTTAGGCAAATATTTAGCCTTATTTAAATGTTTATTTGAACAAAGACTTTCTGTTTTAGTGAATATAAACTAAGGCACATGGTGCCACCAGGACTAGGTATGCAGAGAACAGACAATACCAATGACTTATGTAAGGTAAGGGGTTTTCTTTGTTTTTTTTAGTAAACTGCATTATAGGCATCTCAGATGACTGCTAGTGGTTTGTGCCACATCTGCTGTTCATGGAATACAAGAAAAGAATCCACAGTTAGCGCTTTTTCAAGTGCTTTTATGTCATGCTCTTTAATTTCATTTTTTGCAAGCTTGGATAATTTTAAAATTGCTTCATTTGAGCATTTTCTAAATTTTGAGCAGCCAAAAGAGGAGACGGAAAATAACCCCATTCACTTCACAGGCTATTAAAAGGAGCTCACCAGGACTGCCTGGAATAATTGACATTAAAAGAAGCATCTGTATCTCAATGAGATAGCACCAGTATTGCCCTAGCACCACACCCAAATGGGAAGAATCTATATTTTTACCACTTCACTTGTTTCCAAATTCTACATTCTCCTGGGAAAGCTTCATGGCTCAGACTGATACATTGCTGCCTCTGCAAAATCAAGATTCAACCAAACAGCAGCATCAGTAAATGTTATAATATCTCATCCAATTCATTGTTCCAGATGTGACTTTCAGAGCCTAGCAGGACTACTTAAAAAACAGTGTTATTAAAAACACAATTTTTATCTTTCTCCATATTATTTCTATGTATTAGAGAAAGGAAAATAAGTGCAAAAAGCACTAGAGCCATAGTGAAGAGTAACAAATTAAATCCCAAATACAGGAAATGAAAATACTCTGATGCTCTTAATATCAGTGCCTCTGAATATATATATGGAATAAATTCAGCTGCATATTTAAACAACCCAACTGATAATTAAAGTTACCACGTATGCAGGGTAGGGAAAGTATGACAGTCATAGACCTTGGGTTTTCATTTCCTGGTTCTTTTTCTGGATTTCTATTTGTAAGCGTGAAGATTCTTTGGTATACATTTTAGCTTTAACATCTGTGCAGGAAGACGTATAAAGCATATACATACATATGCATGAACATTTATATATCTCTGAAGCAAAGCATATACAGAGTACTAATAATAATGCTGCTTTTTTTCCCCCCAGAAATAGGTGTGAGTTCCAAGAGTCTGGTCATATCTCAAGGATGACATATTTTGGTCTCTTAGGTGAAAGGAGGCAAGGAGATAGCCAGCTGGCTCAGGTGAAGTTAAATCTTCCATGCCAGCTGGACAAGAAATAGTATCACTGTTACCTTTGGAGGCTCCTGCCTGCCTACTAACTAAGGAAGACCAGAAGAGTTAAGAATCTACATGCAAGCAATTTTCCATTCCATATGGAGTTGTCATTATCCCTCTGAGTATAATTAAGTTTGCCAGATTTACAGTGCTGTATGCAACAATATACTGAATCAGACTACTCAGCTGCTTGCCACTCACACAGCACTTCCAAGTCAGGCCTCGTTACCCTCCTGGCAGTGAACAATGAGGGGAAGGCAGCACATTAGAGCTCTTGGTCCTAGAGGGAAGCTGATAAACCTCTTGAAAGAAGGAAGGAAGGAATAAGACACTCAAAGTGAAATACAGACATGCTTCCCTCTGACTCTAAAACCCAGGTAATTGGTTATGGTCTTTCAATACAGGTACAGCCAGCATGTCTTCCACAAGATATGACTTACTGCAGAGAACCTTACAACCTCCACTTTCGATAACTCTCATCTGCTGAACTTGGAAGAACATACACAGTATATTATTTTTTTCTTTCCCTGACTTAATATAATCATTACCACATTTCTGTGATGTTGCCAAATACACCTTAACATGCCACTTGGTTTGAAGGCAGAGGCCATGGCTGAACTCACACTGTAAGGTGTCATAGACTGTTAAATTGATGATGTGAGCTTAAGTTTTATAGACAAAAAAACTAAAGGGCAGAGTCTGACTCACCCTCATCCGGCAGATCTGTGGCAGGGATGAGAACGCCCATGCCTTGACCTCAATCTTGCTTGTAAGCCAAATGCAGCGTCTCCTGATCCAACCTGTAAATTTAGCGGAGACAGTTGCTAGCATTATAGTATCTCCTATTAACCAGCACCACTAATACACTGGGTATATGGAGCAGCTCTTACTACAGTTCTAACTTACAAAGAATACATATAACACCCTAAGAAGTACACTTGTTCAAATAAAGTATTAATTAATAAATCTTTGTTCCAGGTGTAAACAGATCTCTCTAAAAATGCCCAGTGAACATTACTGTATTGTACACATCCATCTGAGCCCAGAAACACAAAGAACAAAAGAAAACACACTGATCACAGCAGATTTTAAATTATTTCATATCTAGCCTGCAGTAACAGAGAAATGCCTCACCCAAGATTTCAGCCATACTTCTCACCCATGCAGATAGGACCATATGTCTAAATCATATCAAGCCACTTACTGTTGTGAACATAACAAGCTGTACTGATGACACAGTAGGATGATATCAAAAATGCAGAGAATGTAAGTGAGATAAATGCAATAAAATTGATAAAATAATTCATAAAATAAGCATGGGCATTCAGACTTTGTAATCTACAGTCCTGACCTTTGACAGTCAAGGGCATGACCAAAGTGCACTGCATCTCTTCCTGCCTGTCCGTTAGGTCTTGTTTTCCTTTCAGCTGGGAAATGACATGCAATCTTAAGTCTTACACAAAGTCTTGGCATACAACAAGAATTTCTACTAAAGACTAAGAGTTCACTAGCTGGAAATGCCTGGTCACACAGATTGCAATAACCATGAACCATAAATACAGACATAAAAAACCACAAATGCAGTCTTACGACACATCACATGTGGTATAGGAAATCAGAGCACTGTGTGTGTTACCTCTCTAAGACCTTGCCTAGAATTAAGCTTACAGATTCCAGTTACCCTTTTTCATGATAAAGTAAGACTACTGCAGGTCAGAGAAGGGCTAAAATGATCAGAGGAATGAAGGTTATCTTACATGAAAGGCACAAAATTCAGGAGAAAGAAGTGGCAGAGAGAAGTCTTTGGACAGCTGTATACAAACACACCAGGCTATGAACACTGGAAGGAGAAAGAGCTGTTGAAGTGATGTGCAGACTGAAGAGCCAATAGATGTAGCCAGACCATAAATAACCATAAACTGGACCTCTCCATAGGACAAGTTCATTCCTAGAATAAGATGCTCATACAGGTAAGAGGAGCAAACATCTTAACCAATTTTGAGGGAACCGGCATATTTATAAATAGGGCGATATGACAATATGCTTAGCACAGCAAATTGGATTTGATGATCTGTGAAATTCTTTTCCCTTGTCATCATATCTTTTGCTAAGTGTTTACCCTGGTGATTGAATTAGGAAAATTCACGTATCACTGCAACAGCAAAACTCATCATGGGGTGACGCTGAACAAAGCAGGTCTTGTCAGCATATTTAGACTGGTTTATGGGGTGGGAGAGAGGGGGAAGCCTTTTTTTGTTTATGCGTTTGTTTTTCATTGAGGTTGAGGGCATTTTGCTTTGTACAGCTTTTGGGTTGGGGTCATTTTTTAGGTTTTCTTTTTTGTTTTGTTGTTTATGGATGGTGTATTGTTTATTTGTTGTTCTGTAGTTGGTTGGGGTTTGTTGTGGTTTTTTAGGGGGTGGGGCTTGTGAGGGGTGGGTTTTTTGTTTTGTTTTTTTTTAAGTTCATGGCTTCTAGTGTGTTTTTTTTTCCACACAGTTCAATGGAAGGTTGTGCACAGGAAGGGAAGAAAGAAGCCAGAGTACTTTGCAGCTGCTGTACTATATATAGCTCCAGAACCAACATGGAATAAAGAAGGTGGCATTTGTCATTGCTGCCTGGTCACACTTATTGGCCACATCTACCACTCCCGCTGGCTTCATCCCCCCCATCAACAACAGCCCCAGAGCCTGGGTTTCACTCACTAAGCTGCAGAGGAGCACTGGTTTTGGGTTTTGAAACACCCTTGTTGCTGTGACCACCAAGAGAGTTATTTTGCCATGAAGAAACATTGCTTCTTACAGACACTATATCCTATCGTCACCTTCTCAGACCACAGAAGGCCCCCAGCCATCAGCTGCTTTACCAGACAGCCAAAAATAGTTGGAGTCACCAATTCTATCAAAAGTAGCTAAATAAATCACCATGATTGATTAGCTAACATATCTGTGAAAGCAATTTTACAGCTAAACTGCACCAAAGACTAAGCCCACGTTAATGGATAGAAGTGCTACATCCCCCAGCTTTCTTGTATGTAATGCAGACACGTGGGGTTTTGTTTTAAATAGAGAATTGAATATTGAATCATCCATAATGTCCAGGTTCTTATCAGGAATCCAGATTCCTTCCTGGTAAAGTCTCATACCATCTTTACATTTAAGAGGATATTTTTATTGTGAATAAGTAAGGAGGAAGAGCATCCTCCAAAATGTGAAGTGGTCAAAATTTACTCAACTAATAACTCTCCCCAAAAACCACATAAGTAGGTCAAAAAATTCTTATCATGTTCAAGCAACAAAGAGTCTGTGTGTCCAAAATATTTTCTTTAACTATATAAAGTTGATTCTTAAAAAATACTGTTTCTTCTCAAACTTCACCAGGCTGATAAACTATATCCCTTGGTCTCTGACCCAGTCGGACCTGTTTCTCCCATGAAAACTTGGAGGGTAGCAGAATCTAGCATCTATTTGATTTCACCTGACAACATGAACCAGCTGCCTTTAGAGTGGCATAACACAAGACGTGAATGCAAATTGAAGAAGAGAAATTTGTCACCACAGTAGAAACAATTTCATTCCAGACAACATGGGTGATATACACCTATTCCTCATATTTTAGTTCTCCTTGCTTTGCTTTATTTATGTGTCATAAAGCTGTAATTCACCAATGAAGGATGAAACACTTTATTGAACAGTATTTACACTCCCTGCATCAGATGCCACTTTTTCATCATAATGGAACACATTGGGAATCCCAGAGCTATGAAGATTTATAGAGGCACAAACACAGAGCACCATGAGCAAGCTCTTGCAATGAGCCCGATCTAGTAAACTTTAATATTAATTATAAATCTCTGGAGGGTTTATGGATAACAATTTAATGGAAACATCATTCTCTGTCATCCGTCATTCCTGCAGGGACAGTAATAATGTAGGAAGAAAAAAAATAAATTTAAATAAATAGTGTCTGACAAAGGAATTTTGAAATGTTGTAATCCTTTTAATTTATGGATTTTACCAGAAGTTTTGCCTCCCAGAATTTATGATAAGTAAGTCTATAGCTGCTGCTTTTTTTTTTCATAGTAATGACGTTTCTCAGAGGAAGAGCAATTTTAATTTAAAAAAAAATCAAGTCTAGAAAAACATAATGCCCGAGAGACCTGATGATTAAGGAACCTATTTGCCTCCAGAATAGTGTTAGTGGTTCAGGTTGACCTGCAAGCCGGTCTCTTGCAGAGGTTTAGGTATAAGCTTACCCATATGCATGAACAGCTCCATTTAGGACAGCGGAGCCATTTGACATGAGTCAGATTAAGCCTGAGCCTGTATCTCTGGGGTAACACAGCCTTAATTACAACAGGAATTCCACTTCTAATTCCACAGTGGAGCCAGAGTCTTAAATCTATCAGCACTGTTTGATTCTGGCAGATGGGAGCAAAGGTGAAAAATGCTTCTGAACACAACTGGCAAATCACCACAAGAACATAGATGACTGCTCAAAACAGCTGTTTTTAGCCAATGCTGGGTGAAACCACCAGGGTTTAAAAACACAGTTGGCATTAAGCGTTGGGGAATCATTACCCAAATTTAACAGATAGTAATTGAATCATACCTAAATTCTCAAGAGAATCACCAGGAAATTAATTTGTATGCTTTGCTATTAAAATTGTTGCAACCTCATTTTTCCCCATTGTTTCAGTTCAAAAAGACAATCCTCATACAAAATTTCACTTTATGTCAATTCCGTGTTAGACAGAACCCATTTGTTCAGATTAAAACTGTTAGTTTCAAGAATCTCAAAACATGAAAATACAAGTATTATGTGGATGTATCTTAAAAAAAAACATCTATATATATCTAAAACTGCTTCATGAGCAAAAGTCTTAGGTGCTTGACTATCCTGGCCAGATACCACAGTGTTATTTATCTACCCACTATCAAAACAGAATAATAGGAATGTAGAAAGAAAAGAAGTTATCAAATTACACTGTTAATGACCATTTCCCTCCAGATCCAAGCTTTTCATTTGGACTCTTTCAAGGGCTGCAGATTACAATAAGCAGCACATGTCAGGAGCACCTGAAGCAAGATAGAAATGTTTGTTTCACCCAGAGCCATCTCAGTATATCAGAAGTAGCAAGGAACGCTTGTTTTGCTAACCTAGTTTGCCTCAGTTCTGCGGAAAGGCTAATGATGACATAATAAAAAGTTTAATTGCTTATTAAAGCATGAGAGTATTTATTTATATTCTCCATGAGAGCACTGTGAAAGGCAAAAACCAAACTAAATAGAGGCAGAAAGAACAACAGATCAATTTAGAGGTTTAAATATGGATCATGTATGGTAATATCATTGCAGGTAAACTGGATTATAAAAATATAACTTCAATTATTTAAGCCTTGCTCACTCAGCCCATTCACAGAGAAATGCTTTCCTAAGCACTGACACTGAAAGTTACTTATTTGGTTTGCTAAATAAGATATTAGGAACAGAAAAGGTGTTTCATACAGTAAAGAATCAAGAAATTCTATTCAGAAGATTACCAAAAAGGGACTAGAGAAACAAGAAACAACAGGGCAAGTCTTAATGAATGTCTCTTAAGGAAAACTAATGGGTGGGACAGTCTTGGAATTTGATTTACAACTCAGGAAATGTCACAATTAAAGAGAAGAAAAATGATCAGTTAAGCAATTGGCTATGGATTATAGTACTGCTAAGGAAAATTAAAACACAGGACACAAACAATGGCTTCCTCATTTGCACCTTTTTCCTGAGAAAAACTTTAGTCACAGATGGGACTT